AGAGAAATCTCCAACGAGGCGTTCTGGGGCAGCATAGNACATTGGTTTCTCATACAGCATCTCTGTATAGTATGTGTATTCACTCTCTGGCAAGTGTGTGTGTGTGTGTGTGTGTGTGTGTGTGTGTGTGTGTGTGTGTGCGTGCGATACGTTACTATACCCAATACCACACACACACACACACACACACACACACACACACACACACACACTTGCCAGAGAGTGAATACACATACTATACAGAGATGCTGTATGAGAAACCAATGTGAGCTTGGAAAATTGCAGGATGTAAATCTATTCTAGTGGACCTAAACAATGGAAATATGATCAGTAGAAATGGCCATGACATGGGACCTTTAATAATACATTATGAATATTACATGTTATTTATATAGCGCTTTTCCTGGTGCTCAAAGCGCTATACAACCAAGTTAAGAGAAGTTGTGCTTTTAGATTTTTTTTAGACCCTTAAAAGACCAAAATCAGTCCGGAATGCAACCCCAATTAAAATAAAAATCTGTGATACCAAGGACATTCCAGCATAACATAATGCAATATGTCAAATCAGACTTTCAATATAGAACGCTGGTTTCAAAATGTTAGTTTTTAATGTCTTACACCAGATTGAGAAATGTTCTCATGTTTGCCCCATGCCATTTCCCCTTTTTCTACTAGGGTTATTATTGCTGTATTATTATTATTATTATTATTATTATTATGGGATGATTACAAATTTACATTATTCATCAATGACATATTCCAGACAGTAAAAAAAAAAGGTATTCTCTCTAGCATTTAGTATGCAGATTAAGTATATTATTTTCCATTAAAAAAAATATTTAAGATTGAATTGAGAAAATAAATATTTTACTCTGTGAACATTTTAATGCAAATATAAAATACTTTTTATGGCAGTTTTTTGACTGACATTTATGTCCTCTAAGGAGCTTCTTCTTTAAAGTGCTGAACCAAATACTGGTACAAATACAAAGTACTGCTTGGACTCACCTCCTCGTTGGTGTGCAGGACGGCCAGCAGCAGGTCCTGAGGGCAGAGCAGGGCGCCTTCCTTCTGCAGCGAGAGGCGAGGCAGGAGGCCACACTTCTGGTAGTAACGTTGAGCAGCCTGCTTACACAGCCAGGACACGGTGCACGAGTCCGCCTCACTGGGGAATGTGAAACGAGGATATGGAGGGATGTTCTTTAATGTTAAATCCCAAACGTTTAACCTAAGACGTCCTTACACTGCAGTCATTCATGTATATGAAAGTGACGTGTACACAAACCTTTGTGGAACTGGGATGAGGAAAACATCTTCCTGAACTCTGACCCTCATTCTGATTGGTGGAGGCATTGATGTAGGCATGGGGGCAGCTAAAGTGTGAGTTGGAGGCTGAAATAAATTGATAATAAAAAACATAAGCAAAACATATCGATGTCTTTGAAAAGGGGGAACCCCACCGAATTCTGAATTATATCAGGACTGAGAACAACACATTCTGAAAACACAGTGGGTCCAAGGTAGATCTGAAGGTATTAAAGCTGCCTCAGTGTCTTAAAATGGCACCACCTCCTTCATCATCTCCCATCACCAGCACATTCATTACTGTCTTAAAGGTGGGGTAAGTTTGAGAAACCGGCTCGAGTGCGCTAGAATTTGAAAATACACAACCGGAAAAAATCAGCCACTTCCTTACAGAGCCCCTCCTCCAACATACACGAATGCGCACATGACCAATGAGGGCACGAGATAAGTTTGTGCACAGATGGAAAGCTGACAGGCAGGTACTGTAGACCATCCAGTTATTTTAGCCGTGCCGGCTAAAATGATTAGTCGTGCTTTTTACAGTACTACAGCTTCCAATCTTTTTTAATGGATTTTTTGTCAAAGCACTTAAGATATTCATTGCTATTGGGATGTTAAGAGCATTCCGTGGAATACATCAAAATCTGTATCTCGAGCCGGTTTCTCAAACTTACCTACCCCACCTTTAACATAGATATTGCAATATGGTTTGTTGAGCTGGAGTTAATTATTGAAGCTTACTGGTTAACGTTCATCATATTAAACAAACAAACCCAAACCTTGTTGTTTTTATGAATATTATTACCAATACTTACTTAGTATTTTATTATCATTACACTGGAGAAACCGACTTATTGTGGCAGCAGAACGTGAACATGTAACGTAATGCTTGCATTTAACGGTGATAGTAGTATTCAATGCTTTAGGGATAAGGAAATGATTTGTTTGAATATTAGATATGACGTTGTGTGTGCTTCTGTGACAATTAAGCTTATTCATTGCATTACATTTGTTTAAATTTTTTGTCTTTTACCCTTACGTGTGTGTTACAAATGAATGTGAATATGGCATAGGACACATACTGTATTTAATTTGACTGTCTCATGAAAAAATATTCGAAAATAACAGTAAAATAAAAAGGACCCCAACTAGTAAGATACAGTAAGGGCTGTGATATCCAGCACTTTTTTTAAGGATAACAAAAAGATTATGACATGAAGTTTGCATGTAAAAAAGTCTGTGACCAACACATGTTACTTTACATATCTGTTTGTTTAAAGTTTCCAGGTGATGCAGACGGACCAGAGGATGCTGAACACGAGAGACAGACCGAGATTCCTGACATCAGTGAACTTCAGCATGGAGTGAAAGGTATAAAGACCCTTTCATACTGTACAAAGAATCGAGAAACGTTCTATGTATTTATTGGTTAAGATTGTCTCTGCCGGTGAGATCGACAAGGGGAGGAATAAGGGTCGTTTTTTTTTTGTCTCAGTAAAATCCAATAAAATTACAATATTAACTGAAAAAATACTCAGAGAAACAAGACTGCTCATTGTTACCGTAATATATTTCGGGTCGAAAATTGGGACAAAACTTTACGGTACTGCAGTCCAATTTAAACAAAATACTAGTTGTAATAATTCGTCTGTAAAAACATCGTAAGATGACACCTTATATGTATTTTGTTTTGACATTTATATGGTCCACACAGAACACGACACCGGTAGCACAAATGTTCAACTAGCCATCAGTAAGGCATCCAGGCATACAATAACGACGGTTTCCTAGGGGAAGTAGAAAGTAAGAGACGACCCTCTATAGGAGAGAGGTATTTCGAGTTCAGTTCGGAACCGAAATGGTGCAACGTCTGGTGATTACTGGTAGGGTTCCATTGCCCTCCACTCCTCAGTTAGTACTAAAGAATGACAGACAAAAGGTTCAGAGGTTCTCGTACTGTTTAGGCTCAGGACTGGTTTTCCGGCTACGAAATTCTTTTTTTCGGTGGTCCTTTATTTAGGTTATGTTATTAAGTTGGGACTAATGAAGTTTGTCTCGGACAATCAAATCGAGGACATCGTAACTGCCAACAGTACATTTACCGTCAAATTCACTCTTCCCACTGTAAAGTGTATTCTAACTACTATTTAATCTCTCCTTATATACAGAACAATAGTTACATTACCGTCTCTTGACACACACACACACACACACACACCTTAAGTTGCGACTCTTTACTTTACTTCAATTATTGCTATCTTTCCTCCGTCCTAATCTCCAACATATATATCTGAACCTCGTGACAAAAGTGGTACCAAAATTGGACATCAAGGAACAAACGAACAAACGAGACCATTTTAGATTNTTATTATAATATAGTTGTAATATAGTCAAGACAAAACATGCTTATGACATGCTCAAAAACTGATATTTCTTAAATCTGTATTCAAATGTAGTTCCCTCTGTCAGCAATGTATCAACAACTACAGACACATTTCTATCAGTATTTATCTGTGTTGTGGTTGACATGATGATGACTGTTAGGAGTTAAGGGGGGAGGCTGAGCATCACCATGAAATGTGCAAATTGACATAAAAATGAATAAAAGGGGAAAAAATGCTCCATGTTTTTTAGGCTGTAAACTTTAACTGTTATGTAAGCCAAGTAGACAGACAGTTTATCACTCTTCCTCCTGTACATTAGCAGATAAAAGGCATAACATACTTGAATGAACGGTAAATAAAGAATGCTGGAAATAACTGCATCTCCATTAGCCTATATGCAATGCAGAGACTGCCTTCTTCATGTCGTGAATTGCAGCTGATGTTTTAATATGGCAATTTGACTTACAGTATACAACATTCGCAAGTTGCACATTTGACTCATACAATAAACCACCTTCGAGTGATGTTCTAGTTTCTTCATGTTTTGTTTTTTTTCCCTCTTGCTTGCGCCGGACTGAAACTTTCTTTTCACCGACATCTCTTCACCTGCACTAGTGGCCGTATCAAAGCCGTGATTGGTCAGATGTCGATTCATTGCAACGGTGTCGGGTTATAGACGTGCTCCCCTTGTCACCTCTCACTCTCGCGGGGGGTGCGCGGAGAACTGAGCGGAGAACTGAGCGGAGAACTGAGCGGAGAACTGCTCACAGCAGCTGAGGCCCTCTGGGCGGGGCCCCCTGCGCAAGGCGGGGCCCCATGCAGCCTGCATGATTGGCCTGTAGGGAAGGGCGGTCCTGCAAGAGGTGTTTTTAGGGAGCGAGGAGGGAGAGATGTAAGGCAAAGATAGATCCACTTGGACTTTGGGACACTTTGGGAGTTTAAAGACTGACCACGCAAAACACATTTCTGGCCATACCTCTTGAATAAATACTCTTATTATAGCAATCTCACACAATGTCTTATGGGATAAATTAATGACGATAATTTTGGACGGACAAAGATTGTGAGTTTCTTTTTTTACACATACAGTATGATTGATCAATTGTGATCTAACGTCCATACATTTTCTCAGATATTATTGCAAAAAAAAACTACATTTCACTCCAGAACTTAGAATCATAAGGTTTATGACCGAGTTTTATCCGATGTGGGCCCACACTTTCAGACTTTCAGAGAGCCTTGATTAATGTTGTCATGATGTCACCGTCATGTTGGTCCGAGGGTTAAAAGCATTGTGTTTGTTTTTCACAGGAATTACATTTGACATTCTGTTGAAAAGCACTGACCTTCTAATTCGCCGGCCTTATTGTGATTGGCTGCAGAGACTCGGGCAGATGGTTCTTCTCTTCAGTATTCTTTACAGGTGAGATGAATATTGAGAAACTTCATAATCAGATGAGATTCAGTCTGTGATGTCAATGCATTTAACCAGGTTTCTTGTGATTAAATACTGAACAAAAATATAAACAAAACATCTTTTGTGTTTTAAAATCAAGAGATAGATGGGAAGATCTATACCACTCTCATATTTTTCTTTTAAGGCTAAAGCTACAGCCAGCAAGTGTTTAGCTTAGCACAAAGATTAGAAGCTAGGAAAACAGCAAGCTAGGTTTAGATTACCTCATAACCTTTTTTTAATTTGTTACGATCGCTTGTTTGACTTTGTATAAATCCCTTTAATCAATCTCTTTGCTTCAGTTTCTACCTGTTTCATCCGCTCTCCTACGGCATGAAGGGTCCTCTGGCACACGAGCCAGGCAGCGCCATGGCCGGCCTGAAGTGGATGGACTCCTGGGAGTTCTAGTCAGCTTTGCACGAAGAAGACAGATTTTATTTTAATGTAGAACTGGTCTGACTATGAGGGACTTATGGTCTAATTTTACATAATGTACTGACTGCACACACTACCATAGAATCTCTACCAACTCATGTATTATTGAGTGTCCGAACATTTCTTATTGTTGAGTATTAAAGCATGTCATGTGTAAAGAGTGCTTTATGAGAATGATCTGAATCAGTGCAATATAAATGCCAGAGTGTTGTGAAGTATTTAGGAATACAGATCTAGACAATAATGTTCACCAAGCTGCCTTAACTAACTCCACATCTCATATCTTGGACTTAAAGAAATACAATGTGCGTACTGTATGTCACAATAAGCTCAAGTGCCTGTAAGGAGCTAGTAAAATAACTCTAAAAATGTTTCAAATGCTGCATCTCAGTGTTGGTGACTTTTAACGAAACACTGTTTGGTACGTAGTTATAGGCTATCGGAGACTGTATTTTGTTTGTGTTTGTCTTGATCGTAGTGCCCAGTATTTTTGAATTGTATTTAGCGATCAGTGCTATCAAGTACTTGTTTCTGTTTTTACTTTGTAAAACTACTAGTGACTTTGTCACATTTCAGTATGATGAATAAACTGTGATATTCTTGTAATCTGTGGTTACTTTGGTTCATACACTATCGACAAAAAAGAAACTGCTCCAAATGTGTTTGTTTTTTCTCCAGACTAGATTATGATGACTTTTTGTTACTATTATACTTTTTGATTGTTATATTTTATTTAATCTCTCCCAAAAAATGGCTAAGATATTCAGGAATAATGAGTAACATTATCACAAGATATGTCACAAATAAATACATGAAATCATTGCTTATAACAATGTACAATTGCAATGGCTCTTTAAAATAACCCAAGACAGACTTAAAACAAAAATAAGACCAACTCTGATCTGAACTCTTTTATCAGTTTGTCTGTGATCATGTATATGCGATCATGAATACCATTACAAATTAGTCCTTGAAATGTAATAACTTCCAAGATATATACATTCCTGCTTACAGTCTAATTCTCAAAAACTATTTTACATTTATAAATATAGGGTGTTTCCCAAACGAAAGTAAAAGGTATGTAATTCAGTAGTTTTCAACCTGAAAATAGGGACCATTTGATTATATATTATAGATTGCTTGGAGCTTTACTTATTCATGTAGTCAAAGGGGGCGTTTATTCCTTGAAAGTTAATGTATCAACTGACCCCACCCATTCAAAAACATGTAATGTATTTAATGCATCTTGAATTCACTTTGATGCCTATGTATGTATGTACCATAGGTATGTACCTATGTATTCAGTCTTTATGCAGTAACGGCGCTCTTCCTGGTGGGAAGTTGGTTAAGAAAACCGCTAGACGTCAACTCTGGGGACGGCTGCTGTGATTGGCTGTCGTTAGTCACGTGTGTGTTTTGAAGATGGCGTCTCCAAATGGAGGTAAATTCTAATTCCTTACCCTGCTATCTTGTGTATAACATTTAAATTAGACATGTTTAAGGACATTATATCTTTAGCAACTCCTATGCCTACACACAAGGACATACCAAGGCGACAGAAAACATATATTAACGCTGTATTTGTAATGTTTGGAGATGTTTATTACGTTGCCAAAGCCTTCACTAGCCCCAGTGTTGTTGCTGACCAATGTAAAGGGAAGAGACGATAAGCGTGAACCATCGTTCACACTGACCAACAAAACTGCTTCCAGCTACACACATAGCTAATCTCAGAAGCTTGCTGCCCTGCTATTAACAGGCTAAATCTGCTTTGTTTATAATTTGTGTAACGCCCAAATGTTTTCATTCACAATAACGTGATCAGTCATGGGTTTCACTCCAATAGTCAGTCGATGTTCATGCTTTTGTCTTGTTAACAACACTAATGTTTAGGACTGATGTTGAATTTATAATTTATTAAAAACATTAAGGTATGACTGTATTTATTTCCATGTAGTTGTCTTCCATGTTGATGACTTTCGTACACATGTTTGTGTGCTACCCTAAAGTATGGCAATGTATTACATTTCGACATAACTTACATATAATCGAACTATGTATGTAAGCATTTTAATTATGTAGTATTTTAATCAATATATAGGCAATATATTTTCACATCTGATAAAACACACTAACATTGTGTGTTATGTTGATATACTTTTATTATTTACAACTCCTGACGTTTTCCTCATTAAAGGCACAACTTTTTCGTTTGAAAATGTAGTTTTAGTCAGATGTTAAGCACAATACTGTACACAATGTTATATAATGCCAGCTATATTGGTTCAACACAGTAATTGAGAATTACACATAAACAGTAACTTTATTATTGTCTTTACTTTTATTCTTTCTAAAACTCTTACATTACATTATTGCAGTACAATGAATGCATTTTCCACATAAAGAGTGTGAAACCAAAAAAAGAAGTATATTTTGTGTTCTGATAGGTGACGATTTTGAGGGCTCTTTGCTGAGTTTTGAGAAGTTGGACAGAGCGTCACCAGACCTGTGGCCGGAGCGCTGTAAGTCTACATCCCCTCTGTTCCTGTGATTACTGTCCATGAGATTGTGTCCTACGTTGCCATGATCTTAATTATCCTGTAATCTCTCACACAGTGCCTGGAGTTGCAGAATTTGCTGCATCTTGTAAAAACGTGAGTTAAATTCACTGTGGCTACTTTTGATTTACAAACTAGATAATTAAATAGGCTTGACATACTATGATATACTGTATAGGCCCCATCTATAAATCTTGTTCACTGAGACATTTCTTGTGTCTTACATCACAGCCTATCAATAATTCGCCCCCTAAATGGATGGCTGAACTAGAGAGTGAGGACATTGAAATGTTGAAAGGTAATGTACAACATTTTGTTTTTTTGTAACAATTTCAATTGTTTTTTGAACAGGGAGAAAGTAGACGAAAATAGTATAATCCTATCAAATGGGATCACATTTGCTGAAACTAGTTACACGTTGAGTTTTCATTATAGCTCCTGTTATCCTTCTGTAGAGCTGGGTAGTCTGACCACAGCCAACCTGATGGAGAAGGTCAAAGGACTTCAGAACCTTGCTTATCAGCTGGGCCTGGAGGAGTGTAAGTACCTGAACATCACACACCTGACGTTAAAAAGGTTCATATATAAATGTTTGGTTCCATTTTCACTTGAATACAATTTAAGTGAAAAGTATGCAAATGTACCATAAACAGATGCAAGTTGGTCCACGTCACCACTAGATGGTGCTCATAGCCTTTCTTGTAGCTAGTTGATTTCACAGCTTCCATATGTGCTTTCACTTTCAAGACCCAAACAAGCTGACTGCACATAGGCTCATATGTTTACTTTGAATCCAATAACATAATGGATCAAAATTGGAACCAGCCATTTTAAATCAGCTCTCCAGTTCTATGAAATAGCATAAATAGTTTGAATTGAGACCTTTTATAAAGGTGTATTTAGGTCAATCTTGTCAGAGGGGAAAAGGTAGGAAAACAGGGGCATGCCCACAACAAGTGCTAAAGCATTTGATTGATGTACAATCTAGTGTTTAATCCATTCTCCACTGGCTCCATTGTCATAATCCATGTGGATTAGAGAGCTAAGTGCTCTAAGAGACAAATGGGAATTTCCAGTGAAAAAGCAATGAAGAATTGTGATATAGCCTTCCCTCTTAATGGAAAGATATAAATACATGTTAATGTTTTTTTCCCCCTGGGTCATAGTCAAGGCACAATGATGTGATGTTGATAGTAAGGTTTTCAAATCTTGCACATTTGACTGCTTTGTAAAACTCCATTAAGACAGCTTGTACTTATGAATAAAGTTATGTAGAACATCATTTGGAAAGGCTTTGAAATTTGAGAGATGCATGAAGGGAAAAAGAACATCATCAAATGTGTAGGCAAGGGAGTTGACTCCTGAGTGATTGAACTGTGGTCTGCAATGGTATAATGCACACATATCCAAATGAACATACCACAGGAGGCCTAGATAAGAGTAAACACATGACATCAGGCTGTAGATTGTGTAGCATGTGTTGTATTTGCATAGACCATAAGTCACAAATTCATTTAGTTGTAAAAGTGTCTAATCTCCCCCACCAACCCACAGAAGCATGTAATCTGGCTGGTATGAAGACATTAGCTGTCACATGTGCAGGCCTGCAGGCTTTGCAATCATGTCATGTTCCCTGTGATGACGGGACACAATGATGGTTATTATGGGTGTCGGAGCAGCCCTGTAATGGGTGCCTGTTTAATGCTCTCTGGTTTAATTTTCTCCTTTTCCTGGCTGTCAGGGAAGGCCTTGTAAATCTCAGCTACTTTTTCATCATGTTTGTGCACTCTTCAGTACCCGTAAACGAGACTCCTCAGACTCAGATTGAGGGCAGGGGGATAGGATTTACTACCCCTCCCCCTTCAACATGTGGACCATTAAAAAGGAAGCTGGTTAATGGGCACAGAACAATCAAGCAGTGAAACTCCCCTACTGCAGTTAGAAAGAGGACCGGGACCAAACATTATTACAAGGACGCCATTTCCCCCCTGTGCCTCAAACATACCAAGACAGTGTTGGTTTTTGCCCTTTTTGCACATTTTGCACTCTACATACTGTTGTACACACATGTTTGTACATCAGTATTAACATGGAAGTGACGGGGGGTTGTAACACTCCCTTAATCCCCCCCTCCTCCACCAGCACCCCCAATGATGTCTGAGTGACGCTTGCCCGCTCTAGTCCCAGAGGGGTTTGACGCGTGCCTCTTCCTCAGGCCACAGCTGCTACTCCACCCCGTGATGAATGCTCCTGTCGTGGGCTGCTGAGCGCGGGCATCAAGCCCTGAGTCTCTGGGGAGAGCTGAGGACTCTGATAAGTGCTGTTATTTGAGGTAATTGAAAGCTGAGTGTTCCTTTGGGACGCGCTGGAGGGCCGTGCTGACGCGCACCACACTGCCGGAGATGGGGCTCTATCACACTTGTGGGCTCAGGGCTACCGACTACCATTTAACTCTTCTCTGTGTAGGGTGGGCTGTTGATTAGGAAATGTTTCCAGGGTAGCCTTCGCTCGTTAACACATTTAAACCAATAACAGAATATTAGAAAGATGTGACTACTGACGAGTGGACTACAGCACTTGTAGGACCGATTCACGTTTTTGAGTGATTACCTCATTTCTGATAATGGATTATATTTCAAGTGTGGGGCTTTTTAGGAGATGCCTCCACATAGGCTAGTATATGGGCCAGCTCCCAAGTTTTCCCTTGGCAGAAATTGTAGAAATAAATGTGCATTAAAATGTTAGGGGTTGGATAAAGCGGATAATGTACCCTTTTAAAAATAAATGAAACACTTAAAAAAAAAAAAAAAATTCTAATTTAGGAAATATTGGATATTAACTATGGAATATTAAAAATCAAACGCATTAGAAAAAAACATAAACTATACAAGTACGTTTTAAACTTGTGATGTCATCAAGTATAAAGTCCCAAACAAAGAACGTGAGAAGAACACCTGATTTTGCGGAACCAAATTTTGTATATACCCAAATTAGCTTTCTTCTGGTGTATTGTTTTCTTTTCTGACCCAGGAAATGTATCCATATACT